TTTGCATCGAGCACACTGGGATATGCACCCGAGTGCACTCACTGATTTGTGCCACATAGTCGCATAGGTGGAGCCTGGGCGCGTGCTGGTTGCAGATGCAGCTACATCACACCAGGCCAGCAAGCACGTTTCTGTTTGGATCAGGTTTGTAGAAATAAGCCTGCTGCCCATTGTAATTGTCGCTAAAACTCTTGGGGGCAGACATCATCAAAGGCATTCCACATGCCAGCAAAGCACGACATTGGGACTGGGTAAGGGCCAATGGCCCCCTTTTCCAGGCCGGGTTTGGCATGCTGGCCCCTTGCTAGCTACTTCAAAAGTAGTGCTTGCCAAAAGACTTTGATCCTTACAGATCTTACGCACACATCACACAATCATGCATCCCACCATCGAGCATGAACATGCCACTCTATTCCAGAAGCTGTACCATGGTGATGCATGGTGTTTCAAAGATACGGATCGATGAAAACTAATATATAACTATATATAGAAAATCTGAAGCACACTCCACTTGGTGGTTTGCACTGTCATTTTGCAGCTCGGTCGAACTCGGCGCTGCTGTGACAGGTACAGATGAGCCATTTGATCCTCCAGGAGCTAGTCAACGTCGATGGCCCAACCTGCAATGATCTTGCATGCGGTCCACCTCACGAGAGAAGGAAGCTAGACATTGCAATGCACCAGAGAAACTATATAGATAGAACGGATAGAGCTGATCTAGCAGCAGCTTAGAAGGGTCTGAAAGACTTGAAATTAAATATCAATATGGCCCTGGTTGAATTCGAAGACTGAGTGATAGGCGCATCCGCCAGGGAGTCGAAACGATGCCATCCCAAAGTAAGCCCATCTTGCCCATTCATCTGACCAGCAACATGCTGGAAAGCGCATGCACATGCATCTTTTAGAATTCCAAACATTTTGGTATGGATTTGATTATGGAATGAACAAGCCTGGATATCAGACTTGTTGGTTTTGTTGTAAGTCTTGAGATTCTTGGACTCGATCTTCTTGAGGTAGAAGCTACGTTGATACAGCCTCATACTTGCACACTAGGATTGACTCCTTACAGTTTCACGGCTGAGCATGAGGCTGCACTCCGATCGTCGACTTCACACCATCAGGACCGCGCAAAGTCCACGACCTTGCAACGAGAGAATTGGGAGATATTGGGGGAAAAGAGTTGACTAGCGGGTTTAAAGCTTTTATATGTGTGTTGTCTACACCCAGGGTCGATCAAAACAAATACAGCATTATTAAGTTCCTGACTTGTTCATTTCTTCCGGGCATTCAAAAAGGTCATCGTTCGATGCGATGGTGTTCAATTCCTCAAAGTCTTCTTCCATTTTTTTCTGGCGAGGCGTTTTTTCAGAGTCGAGCTCCTGCGTACAGCTGGTGTAGACACACACATACATGTCGTACATAAATGTTTAATTTCATCATTGCAAAAACCTAGTGCAGTGATTTGCATGTCCAATCCTCTGCCGCTGCTTTGCTTTTCTTTTTTGGTGGTTCGTCTGGAGTCTTTTCCTCTTCAAGCTTTTTACCTTTCACTTTATTGGTCTCTTTGGGTTTGCTAGACAGCTGAGGCACAGGCTTGGGTTTTGCCTTGGCCCTTCCTCTACCACGACCCCTGCCACTACCGCGGCCCCGACCACCACGGCCCCTGGCAGCCGGTCGCTTCTTTGGGGCATCTTCCGAAACCTGGGAACTGTCTTCCCCTCGCTCATCACTTGCTCTTCGAGGCCTGCCCCCAAAAAGCTTGCATATACTATATACAAATTGCCTGCGTGTAAAACTCGATTGGCATGCGCGTGCTGTCCGAATAAGCAAACTACTCTTGTTCTAGCGTGCGCGTGTACTGACCCAGATCTGCCTGCAGGATATCGGTATCATTGGATTCAGCTTCCATCGCCAGAACCTCAAAAGTCTCTAGGGCCGCTGCAGCTAGTGGAGACGGCTGAGGCACCAGTGGGGCACGATCCTGCCGGACGAAATCAGAAAGCTTCCAAATTCTAACGGATTTGATCAAGAGAAAACATATCGCAGTGGACAAATATGCATACTAGCTATAAAAATATATAATAGTACACGGTCCTTGAAAGTTCCTTTTTTTCGATCCCCGTCTTCAATCATACCAGCATCTTCGGGTTCACTCATGTCCTCACCCTTTGGCAGTGAAGTTTCATCTTCATCATCGTTTTCTTCAGTTTGTTCACCCGAAGCATGTCCTTTGTCATCATCAACTTCCACGCAATCATCATCAGTCCGCTGCTCTTCCTCCCCACCTTCTCCTCGAGCATGATCTTCTTGAGCAGCCTCAGGTGATCGTGGCGTGGTATCTCTGGGCAGAATCGATCTGTCAGAGCGTCAGGGGGCTAAGTGTGGGGGACTACTGTGAGGATCCGGGTGCCATATCAATCATGACAGTGATCCAGGGGCAGGACCTCTTCACAGCATTCACCAACAGCTTCTGCATCCCGCTCCTGGCAATGTTGAAAAATAGGAGCTAATTAAATTGGAAACCGGTCACTTGATCAACTGGCCTTCTTGGCCTCCAGGGCAATTTCCTTCAGCTTGCCAAAGCTTTCATGGCCCCTCCTGTTCAAGAGTGTAGGTCGACACTTGAAACCTAAATGGTATGGGAGGACTCCAATTGCAAGTCCTACAATAATGAAAGTGGCAAACATACGACCCACACAACGATGAACACCATACGGATCCCTGTGATGTTGCGCTGTCCTCGCCCCAGTATTCCTGGATGCACGAAAGCACACGTATGATGCAAATCCACGTTGTCTTCCTGCTTCAGTGTCTGCCCAGTCCTGATGAGTATGTGGAGAAGCCATCACACAAACAATTTTCAACTGCATATAACGGTCGATCATATATTTGAACCCAGGTGATCATGTCCTCCAACTTTTTCTTGCTTTCAAGCTTGTTCAAGCGAAAGTCGTCAGCAACCTTGAGGAGGGCTGCCTGCAAGTGCTTGCATAGCCATATGGACAGATTTGGGGAGTAGCTTTTGGGCTGTGGTGTTCAAATCCAATACTGTTTTCGGTTGATGCTTGTGAGTGCCTTGCACTCCTTCATAGTGGGAAGAGCCCCGGCAAAGCTTGCAAGATAGGCCGCCAGAAAGTCAAAGTTGTTGTTAGTGCGACACACCTGACAAACACTTCAAATATACGTACTAGAGCACTAGAGCAGGATATATATATATATATATATTTGTGTTTGCTGTTGCATCGAAAACCTAGTCATGGTACATATATATATATATCAAGTGAGCCGGACAGCGATAGTTGTGCCTACCTGTTCTTCGTTGAGGCGGTCCCCCTTGCAATCGAGGAAGCTGAAACCATGGACCTATCCCAGCCGGCAACGTTCAGTTTTAAAATTTAACTAGGCCACCAAATGTCTGTTAGTTCCGACCCTATCCTTGCCTTCTTTCCCTTTTCTTTCAGACTTTGGACCTTCTTGGTTCTTTCCTTGATGAAACCATCTTTCGTAAGGAAGTCTTTGTAGAGCTCCTTGTGCAAACACTAGTATTACACCACTTTCTCCAGGAAAACGGGGATTCGTCATCCTACATACCAACAAAAAAATCTAAACACCCACCACCAATCCAGCTGAGTGGAATCATGGCTCTAGTCCTCAAGCAGTGCCACCGTCTCCGGCCGAGGTTTCGAGTCCGGCATTGCGCAAGCCAGCAGCCAATGGCAGGGGATGATCCCCCACAGGTCCTACTACATCGCCTACCTATCTCTCTCTCTCTATATATGTGTGTGTACATGTACATGTACGGAAAAGTTGGAATATGGCGGCCCCCCTGGAACATTAAACTCACAAGCGTTGTCGACCCTGAGCCCAAAAAAATCGCAGACATAGTGAAATTGCCGTGCGCGTCTGAAATGCTGCGCGACTCGAAACTCTAGGGATGTATATGATTCCTTTGAGAACGATGGCAATTAAGGCTGGGGAGGCACCTGGACCATCAGAGCATGATGAGTCCTCTGAAGCCAATGTCCAGCCTTATCCAGTACGACAGGTGTGAAAGTATAGAATTGAAAACGCTGTCACTTCAAAGTAATGGGGTATACCTCTGACGCTGCAAGTTTCAGAGCTCATGGCCCCACTTTCTTATCTATAGCCATGAAATTTGTATGTATCAAATTTGGCAACCATGCCTTGATGTGAATGAATCGTTGAGTCCCAGGCTCAAAGATTTCAATCCTCTCTTCATAGCGGCCTGGGATCACTAAGTTGCTGACCATCCCCTTTGCACCCATTACCAAAAACAACCGCTAGGCTTTCTCCAAACTTAGCCGAAGGCTCACATGGGCCCATGTGGCTGTGCGATCCACTGCCATCGAGAATGCTACCCGCACAGATAGGGTGATGCTCGATGATCATGTTGCAATATATGTTGCAATGATAAAATAAAAATTAAGACGTTTACAAATTCCATGCACCCAATGCTTTCTGACTGAGCCACATTGCCATCGTTCTCGAACTTGCGAGTGACACACTCCAGATGTACATGACAGGTCCATGGATGGATATACATGATATAGCTAAAGTACAAGTTAAACTTGAACGTTCCAAAAGGACAAGTTAAACTTGAACGTTGACCAGCTGGGTGTGAACAGTTACAGGTGAGGAAACACATTGACAAAGCAAATCCTCAAAATAAAACTGACACCGACTCCAACAGTACAGTGGTACAGTACGGCAGTACAGTACACTGGTACAGGGGTAGCCGCTTCCAACGAACAGGTGACAACTGCCTGAAGCTGGACACGAAAGTCGCACACATGCATATCAAATTGAAGATATTAGGAACACATGCAGCTACAGTGCGCTGGGTGCCCATTATCATCCACCAAATTATATTGATCTACAACCCATCCCTTTTAACTCCTGCTATATGAAGTTAATTGAAGTTACTACAAAACGCTCCTCCATTTTTCTGCTTGGTTCACGCGAAAACGCTTCTCCAGCTCCTTTGGCCGCTGCTGAACTCTTCTCTGCATCAAAGGCATAAACGTTGGCATTGGAGGGAAGCTCCCAGCAGTAGTCGGGTTTGAGGCCTGTGGCGGATGTGGCCCAGCCCTCCTGCATGTTGATGTGAAAGTTTCTGAAGCAACGACTCAGAATTACCATGGTGGCAATAGGGATCCACTGAGTTTCTAGCATTTCAAGACTACTCATGTGTACGGTAGGGACCAACAGAAGGATCCCAAAGAAGGTGAGCTGGGATCCTGACACATCCCTTTCAACAGAACGTTGACAACTTCAATGACCCTTCCAGAATCATGCATGCCAATTTAGACGAACTTTTCCACATGTGCTTAGTGTATTGGCAATGCAGCTTGCATTCGAACGTTACATACATGTGTTCCGTGTGCGCGGCCCACCCACCCCTCCAAAGTCCGCTACTTTCGCCGGCAAGCACCGCTACACGATGCTACATGGCTCCGACACAGAAGGATTTCACTTCCATCCAGAAGTCAATCGAACAAAGTCAATCAGGCAAGGGAGAGTCGGGGGACACAGCGCTGGTTGGAACGTGGGTGGAACAAAGGACCTGACAGAGTTCAGCTGCTGCCATTGAGGCAGGAGATTGTTTGCAGTGCCCCAGCCCTACCAGCCAAAACAGGAGGCTAAAGGCTAAAGATCCAAACACCTGGGGAAAAGAAATTAAACAACACGTAGGGCACTTGGGTCGTGTTTCAATTTGTTCTCTCCAGAATTCTGACTAGCTATGTCATACGCCAGCTGATGGCGAGCCCACCCATTTTCAGCCAGAACTAGAGTGATGAAAGCTTGTTGTGCCACCAAACGTCATGCTTGGATGCCCTGCACAAAGCCATAGAGCAAGCATTTCAAGCCTGCTCCATGTGTAGCAGTGCGTGGTCATAATTAACATCTATGGCGGTGGAATGTCCGTCAACTAGGAGTCCCCATCCGTTCCAGCCTGGAGTGGAGCAATGTTGGGAGAAATCGGAGAAACCAATTTCAAGCACCTTCGAACAAAGAGAACTCCAAAGGAGGGATTCTTCTGACGTCTACGATTGTACTGTATCCATCTTGTACGGTATAACATGCAAGCCGACCACAACGGTTCTCCCGGCCTTCAGCGTAGTTCCGCACCTGGGAGAAGCCCAAAAGCCGCCGATTGGGGCGGTCGAGGACGCCTAGGGCGGGCTCATCGCAGGAACAGGGGGAATGTGATGGCACTGGAAGCAAGGGACGTGTCGGGTCATGACATGGTAAACCTTTTGTTGATTATGTTCTGAAAACAATCAAACACATCAGCCTGGTTCCGTGACCGTCCGTGACCGTGAGATCCCAGGATGTTCGGTCAGAAAAAGAGGACTGTAAGTTTGGTCACAAACAAAGACTCCAAAGAAGTCACGAACGGCTCAGGTCCTGGCAGCTTGCTCAAGCCCTAGTTAGTTGATGTTAGTTGGTTTGGTGGGGCCATTTCATGTAGAAGCTGGAACCAAAGATCAGGATTAACCCCTACTGGTAGCTGCGACTTTCCAACGCCACCAGCCAGCATCAAAAGGATGCCCTGAATCCTTCTGCATCTTTTTGTGGATCATCTGTGGGCATACTATGCCTTTTCCAATTTGAGTCTTGGTCCGACGACCATCCCTACCCCAACTCAAGAGTGACCACAAACTACTTGTTTGAAGCGGCCTTTTGTGGACCCTTGCGTGGTCTCATTCTAGCACATGTTCCACTGCTTTTTGGTGGTAGCAGCTGACAAGACGTGGGTCAAGCCCTTTGCCCAGTGAACCATTAGACTCTTGACCAAAACACAGTAAATATAAACTCTCTACCAGCACCCCCAATGGGTGGTTAATGGACACCCCACGGTGTCGGGTCCTGGTACATGCAGGAACCGTTTTTTCCGGCGGACGTCCCACCGGTCAACCATCGACCGGTGGACAGTCCTCCCCGAACCTGCAGTCCAGACACACAAAAGGCGTCTCCAACAGGAGCCTCAGAGCGATGTTGTTTCGCGGGATACAGGATATGGGCATATGATTCGCTTTTGTGGGGGAGGAGGTCCTGCTGTCTAAGACTAAGAGTGCTTCTCCTGACATCTATAGTGACTGTATGAAATTTATGTAATCCTACTTCGCCTCTGGTGCAACGTTGTTGGCGCAACGCGAGGGTCGAAGAACTCACGTCGGATCGCCACAGAAGCTTTGTCAAACGGATGCAAAAGGGGTAACCATACAATATGCTATTTTGAATGTAGTTGGAGTCGTGCAAACACACAACTCTGCGACACTGTGAGAATGAACAGCCATCCATAGTTACCAGCAGCATAATGACAAAAACATGGCTTCCAAACAAGCTTCTTGCAAAAAGGTGGATCTTGCATGTCCAATGCGAAACTCTCCCAGCAACCCGTCCAAGCTGCTGATGAAGCCCCAGCCCAAGTAGTGCGAGACGAAGCCGGCGTCCCATTGTTGGCTGCGGGAGGTCAAAAAGTCCATCCACCGGGTGGTCTCCTGTCGAGAACCGGATCTCGTTCAAACGGGAAGAGCGGAGAAGAGTGATGGGACCGGAAGATGTGCTACCGTGCTACCCCAGGCGTTCCAGGTCAACCACCCCCATTTGTTTTGATAAATATGCCAGTCCGAAGTGTCTGGCTATGGGTTGATCGGACTTCGAACCATTAAAACGCTGCTTGCACTCCGTTTGAAGGGAAAAATCTACCGGAAACACCGGTTTTCAGCACCAAAACTACCTGGACCCTCCCATGGGTGTCCTGGCTGGACTACCCTACACTACTCAGGAATCTCCAGCCAGGACACCCAAACAGGATGCTCCAGTATAATATTTCCTCTAATTTCTTGCCCAAAACCATTAGCTGCTGTTTTCTTACTTCCCTCAGCCGCATGGTCTAGCCATGTCGAAAAGCCTTCATCTACCAGTTCCAGCCGCTCCGGACCTTGGCGGTCTTGGCCAACAAGTACTCCGTGCGGCCGTCGGTGGTCTGAAGCTCCAGCCCGCTGCTGTTCCGCTCGCCTGGGGTTCGCAGCAGAAGGGCCGGAGAGGACGGCGAGGACACCGCGTCCCCAGCCAAACCCGCCGCAAGGCAGGCAGCCGAGCGCTTTTGGTTGGATAGTTGTTGATGAAATTCATTGGTCACCTTCAAAGTAAGGGATCAGGCTGGAAGCCCCAGCCCACTGCTTAGGGACCTCCATTAGGTCCAGATAGCTTCTGGGGTGAGTAGACTGAGTGGACCCCCCCCCTCCTATCCGCCCGCTGAGGCTGTCACGTGCGAGCTGCCGCGCGAAGTCGGTGGCGTAGAGCGAGTCCAAGAGCTGCAGCTCGGCGCCCGGCAGCACCACGTAGAAGGTGCTTCCGCACCGCAGAGCTCCGCGCCGGTGAAGACCAAGGGCGGATGGAACAAAGGGCAGCGGCTTTCTTTAAACCAATGGGTTTGCTTAGACTTATACACACCTACAGGTAGGTTGGTCTATAATAGTGTTGTAAAAAATAGCTAATCTCCTTTGAGATCTTTGAGGGAGTGTGCGTTTTGAAAAAGAGAGCAAATCCAGGTGCATTAATTAAAGAATAAACAAATCAAACACACACACAACAAAAGAACCCAATTTTAATCACATTTGGCAAGTTTCAACCAAAGCCAAAACATACAACAAAACGGCAAGACCCATAGCGGACCAAAAAGATGACATAAAAAGCAAACGACATAAAAAGGCAAAGCAAACGACAAAAAAAAGCGGCGGACCATTCCAGCATCCACGTCTTCTTCTGCTCTTATCATCCACTTGTCTTTGTTAAATATTTCTTGGACTTTGGACCTGTGTGTGATGAACACCTCCCAATCCCATCTTGGCCATGACAAACATCAAGTGGAGATCGACTGATCTGCACCTTGGATGAGCTGGATTTGTCCACTTCTGGGGTTCGTGATGGTTCGTGTCTGTGCGGAAAGAAAACACCTGCATGGCCCAAGAGATAAACAAGGGCCCCAACCGCTTGGGTTTGTGCCAGGTATATATCTGACCGGACACCGATGGACATGCATGGACGCTGAAACAAACAAATCCAATGGTCTGGAGGGGCTGTCACTCCTTTTTCTCTTTCCCAACCTCGGAGCGAAGCACTGCTCGTGAAGGTCTTCACCCTGCGAAATGAGCGAAACAAGAAGACCAGGGAGTAGAGTACAAGGCGCCATCAATCAAAGCTTGGGGAGTAAACTGATCAGTATGGTATATGGTGTTTGAGATTCTATACGATGTATACAGTGCCACGACATACCATTGACCATCCATGACCGTCCTTGAACACAGCATTTAGGATGTTGAGTCGAGATATGTTGAGTGTTCTTCTCTCTGGGTACTGCCAAACTTGTACTGGATTTGACCACAGGGGGTGAAGTCATTCTTGCTTGATAGCTCTCATGCCTGGACCTGAACACAAAGCAAGCTTTATGCACAGTATTCCTGGGCCGACGTGCACCAGTTGACAAATGCTGGACCCAATCCAATGCAAAAATACAAAAAGTTACCAGCAAGTAACCTAAAACAGTTAAAGGTTCCCACGAACAGCGCTGATGATGTTCCCTTGACTTTCCTCATTGATTCTGCGATCACTGGCGCGTTGTTTTGGTTCCGTGCACCTGTAAAGCACCAACAAGGCACCACGAACTTCGCACAAGTAGGGCTTACAGCGACCTGCAGGTCATGCGCCGTTTCGCGGGGACTGATGGAACCGGGAGCTTCCCCCTGCGAGAGCTTCCCCCTGGCTCAGACAAAAACATGTCCGTACCTCAAATGTGTCAAACTGTGGGACCTGCCCACCAATCCCAGACCATGCAGGGACTGGAATATATATGGTTACTTACATGGATGGGGCATGTTGCATTTGGTTTTGTGCTCAGTTTGCCCAGATTGACACAGGCATCAAGAATGCCGGCTGATGTGTGTCAAGTGTCATAAGCGTCATGTATTGGCTGTTGATGTATATATATATATATATACCCCTCCATTCAATAGCAGTTGGTGATTTCTTCCAACACAGAATGACATGGAAGTCGCCCACATTCGTAGCCCTCAAAGAGGTGGGTATACTATTCTTGAGTCCAAGCAGGGAGACATGGTCCTGGGCTTCAAGTCTTTGCCACACATCAACTTGATACCTGGTCACCTTTTCAAAAGAAGCCAAGCCTTAAATGATTTAATTATGATTTAATTGAAACGGGTTCAGGATGCAAAGTTACAGTAAAACACTTGGAATAGCTTCAGGGTAGTGCCACATTTACCCACTTTGCCGTCTAGTAAACTGGAACTTCCGAGTTTCGCAACATGAAAAAAATAGCATGAATCAAGCCCAACAAAAATAATCAAAAATATGATATGATATGATATCAAGCGATCGCTCTAACATCTGGACCCTCAAAAGCACTCACCAACTTCTCGCTTCAGTACAAGATAGTACAAGTATAGCTCAACTCTCCAACCACCACACCAAACATGATCAACACACACTCCACTGAATGTCACTCCAAGCCCCAATAGTGACCTAGTTTTTGGCTCACTTGAAGCTTTACCCCCCACCCCGGGGGGGGGGGGAAGATGTCCTGCGTTCCAAACCGCTTCCAAAGCGCCTGAGGGCCGCCAGCGCTGCAGCATCCCCGGGGGGGGGGGCACGCCGTCCGGCGGCAGCACGGCATCGGGGCCTACCGCTGTGGGTGGAGGGGGTCATCATCAGGAGTGGATGCAAGACCATTCTTTTTTTTCCGCCTCATCCATGGTTTGGACGTGTCTAGGCGCACCTATGCGGCCTAGACGTCCATGCGTTCGACCATTTCGAGACGAAACCAACCGTTGGAGATTCATGAGAGTGGGTGGAATGGGAACTATCGGGGTTGGATCCAGCGGCTCAAAGTATGGCTAGTGGAAGCAGAATCTCCTGCTCTCAATGGAATTCCTGTGGTGGCATTGGTGGTACGAGTCAAATGTGGTCAAAAAAAAAAGGCTTGTGTTTGTGCCGTTGGAGATTCACTGGTGATGACAATGAGCCAACACAAGCAAATTGTACATGATATGATCCAACTTAAATGATACCAATCAAGTGGATGTTCATGGGTTTTCTGAAGGTCACAAACAGAATACATTAGAATACAAAGTCTTCCAAAAGTCTGTTTGTCCAAACGCTCCATGATGCTTCCTACATCTTAGAACATCTCACAGTTTGGCTGCTTAGAACATCTCTTCAAGGAACGGCGTCATCCTCCGCGTTTTGCGGGTCTGTTTGGTCGACCAAGTCGACGTCACCGCTTGACCATCCCCTCGCTTCAACGTCACCGCCTCCCTTCTCGTTCACACCGATAATGGCGCTGCCGTGCCACCAGTCTTCAGCAAAGCCTGGGAGGCAGAATTCTTCTGATGGAAGAAGCCTGGAAACTGTCAACAACGACCACGGAATTCGGTTGCTTTGGTGATTACATGGGGCTGGGCCTCGTAGTATTTCCTTGAACAGCAGAATATGGTTCAGCAATGGAATCAATAGCAAGAACGATCTGTGCCTGTGTGGGTGTCGGTGTAAGAAGACAGTTATCAATGTCAACATGTTGGTCATAGAGAGGCCAGGATCAATCGCAAGGCAGCGTTTTGAGCCGTCGAACATTGCGGGAGTCCACTATCACTACCAGCAGTCTGGAGGCGGCCCTTCTTCGAGACGACCACCCTTATATCATTGCTTTCCCCGCAACCCATGTCTTGGGATCGGGATCTCTTATTTTGGTTCCCACTGCAAAGACAAGCTCACTGACTTGATTGTTGACATGATATTTTAGACACGGCTAACAAGCATACAAGCAAATCTTTCGGAATATACGTGAGGGCCCCCCAAAGCCACTGATCTTGGAAGGTGGTAGACACTAGGACCTTTTGGACTGTAAAACTGGGCTCCCAAATGTATCGTCCAATCTTCTAACATCTAAGGTAAAATACTACTATGGCTGTTGCTCAAAAGCCAGGATACCTTTATTGACCTACCTGGGAGGTCAAACGACATGGTGGACCAGAACTCCAGGGGCTGCAGGGGCTCCAGGCTTCGTCCCAGTTCCTTCCATATCGGTTCCCAACCCCTGCAGAAGTTGCGTCTCTTTCGCATGTTCCAAAGCCAAGCATCTGAAGGTGTCAATGGCCTGCGACACCAGCTGCCCCACCGTGCTCCGCCGCGGCGACCGCTCGCGCTGGATGGAGTCCTCGGAGGTCTCACGGCCCATCTCGTCCTGAGGAGACTGGGTGGATGCGAGGGATGCGAGGGATGTCGACCCTGCGTCCTTTCTAGCGATGTGTTGTAGTTTTGAGACCCATGTGTGCATAAGCATATAGACAACCTGGTACAAAGCAAAGACCAAATGCAAAGAGTCGAATCTCGAGATAAGAAGCAAAGGATGCAGCAAAAAGCAAAGGTTGGAGTTGGAGGGTCATTCTAAGACTCTGCAAAAACGGCCTACGAGAATGGCTGAGGCTAAGATAGGGGGAGACTTGCCGCACAGACGCGCAGCCACCCTGTGGCTCTCGAATGCTCTCGAGACGAATTTTTCCCTTGGTTCAGGGGATCATTGAAGGAGAGGGTCTTGCGAGTCTCCCTATTTACTACCCAAGTGGTCTGCGATAAGGGGTCAATCATGATTTAACATCTCCATCAATTCTTCCTCCACGTTACTTGTCTCAACTTGTTGGAGGCCTCTTCTCACGGGTCTCTCCCACCTCTACTCACTACTTCCCAACCCTTCGCCACCTCCATTTCCCCACATCCCGTCTCCCCAAGAACGCCACCAAGAAGCCCCCCCAAACCAAACACACTCGGCTCCACTCCGGCCTCCGACGCCGTGTCGTTCTCCTCCAAGTCGAAGGTCACCGCCTTCGGGGGCCCTTCAGACGTGGGCGTCGTCACCTCCTGTCGTCTCTGGGACGATGCGAGGCTCGCAGCGAAGGCCCCTCTGACCACCAGCGTGGACGAGAAAAAACGGCTCAGGTCACAGTCAACGATCTCCTTGTTACCCGTGGAGACCGACCTCTGACTGCCAATTCGACTGGTCGAGAGCGCGTGGTTCTCGGACCATCCTGTCTGGATGTGGACTCCCCTACACTACTTATAGGGATCTGCAAAAAGGACATAACAGGACACCCTCTCGATGGTCTTTAGGAACGTTTTCTAGATGTTTGTTCGCAGCCGGTCTCGTCCTCCTTCTTTCGGTACTCCTCGCGGTGGCCATAGAGCTCCTTGGAGGGTTATAGACCCATTGATGGGGTCGATTGGTTGTAGACCCATCCTAGTGAGTAGCATGCAACCTCCAAGCACTTCTGAATTGAAAGCTGATGGTCAATTCTCCAAAGCTCCGTTTCGAGTGAAGGATTTTTCTCGACCGAAGCCGTCGATTGTGGTGACCCAAAACATCACCCAATACATCGCGAT